ACAGACAGACAGACAGATAGGATGGATGGATGGATGGCAGGCAGGCAGGCAGGCAGGCAGGCATATAACTTATGCTTCTGCATGACTTGCAACACGGAGAAAAAAATATCTCAAAATTAAAACTCTCTGCATTCTGCAAATCAAATGTTAAAGACTGAAAGAAGATTCTCCCAAAATGAATTTTTAAGACTGGCAATCTAGATAAGGTAGAAGTTATTACAGCAGTGGATCTCCTAATTCCAAATCAAATAGAGACAGAGAATATTATGGTTAGTAGCGTTAAAAGTAGAGTCAAAAATATCAGCAAAACCCAGTGGGTTTCATTATTTAATCAGTCACTGGCAATTATTGAACTTAGCTACTTTTTGCTTTCAAAACTGGTTAGAATCTAGAATGAAATGTATTTAAATTAGTTTTTCATTAGAACATAAGGGTGACCTGTTAGATCAAGTCAAGGCCCATCCTAGTCCAGCCTTTTGATCGTCACAGTGGCCAACCTGAGGTTTCTGGAATGCTCAGGAGCAGGAGGTGGAAACTTTCTGCCTCCCACTCATTTCCCTACATATACTATTTGGAAGCATGTTACTCAAGACTATTGGCTTTTTACCAATCTACCCTCCATGAATTTATCAAATCTCCAAGTTTCTTTTGTCCATTCCTAATCTACTTCACTGGATAATTTTTAGTCCTAGTCTATTGAGTCTATTGAGAGACTGATAAAAAATTTTCCTTGTCCACTTCTGCTCTTGAATCACACATGCCTCCTTGGCTCGTTTTTTCTAAACTGAAATGCCATCAACATATTTAATTTTCCTTATAAGGTGATTGAACCCTCTGATTATTTTATTGTCTGGTTTCTGCACTTTTTCCAGTTCTATTATTTTTCAGATAAATATCTGGAACATACACATGTAGATTTGTGTAGCACTGTGACAATATGGTCTTCTATCAAGACTACGTGAATTCTTCTTTTCAATATTACCCAGGACTAGTGAGCCATCATCCACTGTAAAACTTTGCTTTTAAAAGGATGGGAGATGAGAGTATATTTGTACAAATTCATGGGTTATATTAAGATAGATATCTTTCAGGCAATTTCCTCCTAGAGAACAAAAAGGAACTTTTTTATATATATAAATTTTATTGAGTATAAACATTTAAAAAACAGTGAACGTGGTAGTCATCTTTGACATACATTTGTCAAAATATTTTGCATTTAGAAACTTTCAAAAGAATATATATTTATATACATGTATATACATATATACATTTGAGCTTTCCCCCCCTTATTTTTCAAGTAGGAGGTGTCTCACCTCTTCCCTATTTCATCTTGAGTTCTTATTTCAAATTTTGTGAACTCCCTTTCATACCTCTCCAATAATAAAATGTATTCCATATTTTATAGTATTCTAATTTATCTTGTTCCTTCAATTCTAGTGTCAATCTGTCCATTTTGGCGCATTGTAATATCTTATCAATTATAACATCTTCACTAGATATTTCATTTGCTTTCTAATTTTGGGTGAATACTATTCTAGGTTCCGTGATTATGTGTATGATTAAATAGGTATCAGCTTTATTGAGGAGAACAAAAAGGAACTTATAAATAGTCCTCAACTTACTGCCATAACTGGGACCAGAATTTCCAGATGAAGAGAAGTGGTGGTTAAGTGAATCATGCCCAATTTACAACCTTTTTGTCATGGTTGTTAAGTGAATCATTGCATTTGTTAAGTGAGTCATGCAGTTAAGTGGCTCCCTTTTCCCCCATTGACTTTGCTTGTCAGAAGCAAATTGAGAAGATTGTAAAATGGTTGTCAAATGCCCGAATTTTGATCACATGACTGAGGGGATGCTGTGCTGGTCATAAGTGTGAGGACCAGCTATAAGTCACTTTTTCAATGTTGTGGTAACTTCAATGAATGATGTTAAATGAATGAGGACTACTTATACTTTCCAGCAGTGACATTCATGTTTTAGGACTATATTACATTAATTTTTTTCCCTGGCAAGCTTCAAGAACTATGAGAGACAAAAATCCATAGGGAAAATACTGCTTCTATATCCATATATCTCTCAGTCCAATGATTCTTTTGATTCTATTATCAATAGCACTTAACACAGTCCAAAGAGGAGTGATTTATCCTACAGTGGGATGCAGACTGAGCCCAACAACCAACTAAAAGATCCAAAATGAGTTGCAGTGGTTTGACGCAGGTTGAACTGAATTATGAAAGCTTAGATGACTGCAACTGTACAGGTACAGTAACTATGGAGAAATGTGTCCAGAATGTGGGTCTGCAATTTTGTTTAACGAACTACGTGAACTTAGCCTTTCTGGTTTGCTAAATATAAGTTAAGAGTTTAGTACATTGTGTAAATCCAGCCAATACTAGTTTACAAACCATGGCTAAGCAAACCACAGCATAATACAATGTGAGAACCCATTCATTATCTCACTGGTGCTCACTCATGCTCTTGGATGTTTTTTCCTGGTATGCCATCCCTTTTTATTCTCTTCTTTCTGCTGCAAGTCCACGGCTTGTAAAAAAGAACTGCTTGCAAATGCTTCAGCTTTCTACGGCTCAAGATTATGCAGTAATGTTTATCTCCCTCTATCTTATTTGTCTAGCTACAGCTATCTGGTGCTTGAAATACATTTGCTGTTAGCCAGGGGCTTACATGAAATGTAACCTGTTACGAACAGGTATTCCTTTCAATTTAGAAGAGTGCAATATTTTATGTGAGAATTTTATGTGAGAATGTTAAAAATTCAACTATTTTAGGGCTGCAGCATCTCTGTATCTCCTTAATATTGCCAGTGTATATTAACTGATCATTCCTAATACATGTTTTTTGTCTGCAGTCAAGCTAGTTCCTGTTCAGCTTGAAACCATTGCTTCAGCTTGCTTCTTTCTACTGGGACTAGAAACTCCCTGGGCACCCAAACAAGACTATTCAATGTGGGATTGAGTAGTGGTTGCGTTAAAAAAAGGGACAATGGACAAGTTTGACGACAGTACAGCTGAGGGGAAAAAAAATCATAAGAGTTGACTAATTTACTCCTTGGTGTGGTTTAAGAAAGAAACAATACTGCTGCCAAGATTTACCATACTTTTTATTGTACTTTACAGAGTTCAAAGTGCTTCATGAACATTATCTTAGCAATCACCATTGCAGTTAAAGAATGGTGGTACTTAGGTTGCTGGTATCATGTAAATAACAGTATTGTAAAGATGATCTGCAAAGAGGATACAATTTTTACATGGAAATAAATAAATTCAATTCAAAGTAATTATTTTGTGGCTGTGGGTTTCCTGTTTCACAAGTCGCTGCTTTACCCTCTGTTTTGCAATAGTGTTTAGAATAATTATATACAGCCTGTGCTTTGAATGGACTCTTCAGCTATTAAAGGAGGAGGGGAACACTGTCACAGAAAAATGAAGATGGCATACGTCTTCATTATGCATATATCTTCCATTATAACTGCTGCATGAACTCCTAATGCATATTTTCTGAGAGGTCCTGTGTTATGAGTGCCCCTGGTAAAAATCCTCAAGCACCAATTTGAAGTCATTCTTTCCCATTTTGGCTCAATAGTGGTCCTAAAACAAGCAACCTCCATAACTGGAGTATTTATTTATTTATTTATTTTATTTATTTGATTTGCCAATTGTTTACAAGATAATAAGTATAAATGTATACATAGTTGTGAATACATGAAATGGTTACATATAAGAAAAATAAAAGAATAGGAGAAACAATAGGACAGGGACGGTAGGCACGTTGGTGCGCTTATGCACGCCCCCTACTTCTAATGAACTGTAGAAAAAAAAATCTCCTTTATGGATATTTATTTTTTTATTTTATTTTATTTGTCAATTGCTTACAAGATAATAGGTATAAGTATAAACATGAGTAAGAATACAGGAAATAGGTATAAATACATGGGGACAATAGGACAGGGACAGGAGGCACGATGGTGCACTTATGCACGCCCCTTAGACTGGCAAGTGGAGTTTGACTTGTAGTGACTTCATGAATAAGTTCATATGTATGTTTGTGATGAGGTGGGAGCATTAGAAGTGGTTTGCAAGGCTTTCTTCTGATATGCTTCACTTCCTACGGTGATCTCTCCATCCAAACACCAACCAAGTTTTGGACCCAGTTTTGCTTTCTCGAGGTCAGCCAAGGTCGACTGTCATCTGCTGTGGCCCTTCTGAGGGTGGGCCTTTAGCAAATCACCCCGACTGGCCCCTTGTGGGGTACTTCAACCATAACAATACAACAGCAAACAATGGATACAAACTCAAGGTTAATCGCACCAAACTTGATTGCAGGAAATACTTCAGCAACAGAGTGGTCAATGTCTGGAATATTCTACCTGACTCTGTGGTTTCTTCCCCAAACCCCAAAAACTTTAACTTTAGACTGTCTACTATTGACCTTACTCCTTTCCTAAGAGGTCTGTAGGGGGCGTGCATAAGCGCACCAACGTGCCTACCGTCCCTGTCCTATTGTTTCTTTTTATTTTTCTTATATGTATCCATGTATTCATAACTATGTTTTTACTTATACCTATGATCTTGTAAGCAATTGACAAACCCAATAAATACATAAAATACTTAAGGAGGGGATGAGATGCAACTCGTTTCGATGTGGGACGGTACGGAGTGATGAGACGTCTACTCGCCGGTCGTCCTCACCAGAGGGTAACCGTACGCATTGCATTCCTGAGCCCCAACTCCTTGGGCGGCTGCGGGCTGCGAAGCGGAGAACTGGGACCTTTCCCGAGGAGCCTCCCCCTTTGTGGGCAGGGCCAAGGAGAAACTCTCCGCCGGGCACGGAGCGGGCGAGCCAGTGTTGAGAGCCAGTGCGCGTTTGTGAGGCTCTCCAGCTGCGCCTGCCTTTGCCCGCCGGGGAGCGCAGCGTTCTCGTTCGCCCTCCCTCCCCTCGCTCGCCCCCGGCTGGCTTCCCCGCGGCTTTCTAAGGACGGGACGATGTCTTCTTCTTCCTCCTCCAAGGCGTGGAGCTTGGGGCGCCTGTCCCTTTCCTCCAGGAAAGGCAGCCTGAAGCCCTCCGTCCTGGAGCTAGCCGAGAACGCCCCCAACGCCCACTACGCGCCGTTTTCCGTCTCCGCGCCCGCAGGAGCCCAGGGCGCGAAAGAGCCGCCGAGCAGCGGCGAACTAGCCGAGGCGGCCACGGTAGTGATGAGCGCCGATTTCCCGCGCCCGCCGATCAGCTTGGACCCGCGCGTCTCCATCTACAGCGTCCGCAGACCTCTGCTCAGCCGCAGCAACATCCAAGGCCGGGTTTACAACTTCTTGGAAAGACCCACCGGCTGGAAGTGCTTCGTCTATCACTTCACCGTGTGAGTCGAACAACTTTTGCCCTCAACTCGCGCCGGCCGGTCTTGCCGCCGCCGCCCCCTTCCTGCTCTGGGTGGCTGCTGCTGACCTCTAACGTCCCCCCTTTCCCTTCCCCGGCGGCCTGGTAACCCCCACGGAGTCGAGGGAGGAAACGGAGGGCAAGGCCAGCTCTTCGTTCCTGGCGTAGGAGAGGCGTGAAGGCGCCTGGAAGGGTGGGCTGGAGAGAGAGAGAGAGTGCCCAGCCTCCCTCTCCGCTCTCCAGGAGTTGGAGATTGTGGCATGCCTGAGGTTCCGTCGTAAGTGCGACGGCTCGTGTGTAGCCGGAGAGCTCTTCCTCCCGCGATTGACGTAGCCCCGTGTCTGCAGTGCTGGCTCGGAAAGGAGTCTCCCCCCCCCCCGCCTCTTGCCCCGAGATTGATGGGACGGAACTAAGCGGGCAGCCTGGGCAGCTACACACTGGGCTCGCTTCACACACCCACCCCCTCCCCAACCTCCGTTTCCTAAGTGCACTCGGGCTGCCCAAGAATTCATCCTTCAGCAGAGTGTAAAAATACCCGCTCAGGCTGTTTTCAAAGAAACGCAGTCTGGCGCTTGTGTGTTTTTACTTGCAAGTCAGTCCACTGGAGTTCAGCTCCTACCTAGGCCGTTGGAAACAGGGTCTGTAAAATGGGTAAGCTTGTGCCCTGACTTCGGTCACAGCTAAGTTGTAAAGCAGCGGAGTAAGTGTTCGCATGCAACTGCCCGTGGGGCTCCTTCGTGATTCCAGTTGCACAGATTCTGCAAATCCTGTTTGTAGATATGCTCTCATGCACAGTCCGGGAAAGCACCGGGCAGATAGAGACTCTTGTTTTGTTCCAGTCATTCATAATCCATTTAGCAAAGCAAAGTACAAGGCACTAAGAAGCTATACTTGCTTTTGTACCAGAGCAAAATACTTTGTTGCACGTGGGAAGGAACTTTTAAGTCACCTGCCAGAATGGGTCAATTCATTATTTGGAGCTGAGGCCTTTAACTACACAGTGCCCATACACCACAGTTTTAAAAAGCAATGGGGAAAAACTGGTTTAAGAGCTCTGTGGGTTAGAGGGATGGAATGGTAACAGACTTTGTTTAATCCTTTCCTCCATCCATCCTCTTTCTGCTCTAGATTGTCCTACCTGCAGTGCACATGTATTACCTATTCCATAGTGTTTCCCTTTATACTTAAGAGAAACTTACTTTTTGAAACTTATAGAATGAATAGTACCTAATGCCTATTTTTCACTCGTTTCTGTCTACCCTGAATTTCTCCGGATTTCCTCTGTAAAATTGCTAAACTTGTATTTCCCTTTTCAAATGCGCGTGTGGAATGCCTGAAGTAGGAATCTGGAATGCACTGGAATAAAAAGGGGTATTGCACCAGGAGAGCAAAAGGGTCAGGAAAATGGTAGTTCAGAATGGGTAACAGATGTCAAGAATTAGTAAAAGAAAATAATTGGAACTTCGTGTGTGCTTGCATGTAGTCATTAAGGTCACAAACACACTTTCAGGTTTATTTTACTGGCTTATGAAACTAGCCACAGACCATAGTTTGCATTTGTGACTTGTTTAGCATACCACTAGAAACCCACAATGGTTTATAAGCAATAAACAAATGAAACAAACTGTGTTATGAATTAAAATGGTGTAGCCCAGCAGATTGTTGACTTAAAACATTTTTTCATGTATAGCAAGTGGTCTGACCCTATTGCTGAACACAAAGTATTTAAATGATCACATCCATCTATTATCTTTTAATTTAACCCAATTGAGGCAAGTCAGATGAAGGCAAAAACTCTGATAATTAACCAACGAAGTAGCTTCTCTGTATTGTGACTGAAATCTATGTTCAGAACATTTAGATAAGAATGCTATTCCCCCCTTTCCCCAAAATACAAAAGTTGAATTGATTGTGTGAATATGACCTGACAAGTAAACAAGAGGAAAGTATTACTCTGTTATATCAGTCTTTGGGTAATATTTTTAAAACAGAAAGGACTTTATTAACCAATTTCCTGCTACCTGTAATAATTTATACTGTGCCATTTATCTGATTATTTATCTGGTAGGATTAGAAACGGTGAGCACATGTAGTCTAATCCAAACACTGTAAATTCTTTCTGCTTCATATACAGGTTATACTTGTGCCAAGAACTGAGAGCATAAGTATATCCTGAAACACAGCAGGGCACTAGATGCCTTTGACATTCTGCTTAGGAGAAACACAAGTGATTTGTGGGTACATTTATAATAGCAGTTGTTATAAACCTTACAAAGCCATTTTGAGCCATGGCCTTAACAAGAAATATCAGCAATAGCAAAATAAAATGTACGTCCTTTGTATGTAGGATAATTATATTTGTCTAATCCAAGTCATTTATCAAGATGGGATCTTGGATATAACAGAATAATACAGTGTATATCAGAGAAAGTAGGTTCATATATTACAAGCAGATATTGTTTTTTTAACATGGAAGAAGCTATTAAGCAGCAAAACACCACTTGAATCTATTTGCAACAGTGCCTTTGAGCCCTGCATATTCTACAGGCAGTACAATAAAGACAGTAAAGCAGTACAGGTAGTCCTTGACTTACGACCATAATTGAGTCCCAAATGTAAGTTGTTAAGTGAGTATTTGTTGAGTGAGTTTTGCCCGATTTTATGATGTTTCTTGTCATGGTTGTTAAGGGAATCACTAAAGTTGATAAGTTAGCAGCCTGGTTGTTAAGTGAATCTGGCTTCCCCATTGATTTTGCTTGTCAGAAGCTTGAAGTGATCACATAACCCTGGAACGCTGCAGCGGTCATAACTATGAACCAGTTGCCAAGTATCTGAATTTTGATCACATGACCATGAGGTTGATTTAAACGTTACAACTGTGAAAAACAGTCATAAATCAGTGCTATTGTAACTTTCGTCACTAAATGAACTGTTGTAAATTGAGGACTACCTGTAGATGGTTGCCAATAGAGAGATAAGAGCATCTTGAGGCTTACATGGAGCAACCTCGTTGATTTGCTAGCTAATCTATTTCAATATCTGCGTCCACCTAGTTAGAGATGCCTGTTAAAAGTCCAGCTCTTTGACAGCCGTCTCAATCAAAAAAATAATGATTCTAAGCATGTTTTGCAATGTTCTTTAACAAGATTTATTGAACTGAAAGTGAAAAGGTATATGGGTATTAGTAATTGAACTATTTCCCATTTAGAACAAACTTATTCCCAAATTGATTAGACCTTGGCTTGCTTCAAAGTTCGATAGAAACTTGGTTAGTTTCTTTCTAATAGCTTTTCAGTAATTGGCAAAGAGGAGGTTTAGACAAGCTTCCAAAGCAAGTGGCTATTTACAGAATTGTCTTCTGAATTCTTACCAATCTGGTTACATTATTACATCAACATTACAGTGTGCCTACCAGACCCAATTATTGTTTCTATGGCCTTACTAAATAGAAATGCCAAGCATGAGTCTGGTAGCAACTTGTAAAAACCTGTATTCGCTGAATTAATACAATTTTGGGATCCTATAAAACACTCAAAAGAGTCCCAGAACTAAGCTGATTTGAGTGGTTCCTCCTGACTAAAAAAAATGGCACTGCAAAAGAACTGATTAGATATGTAAGAAATATTAGTTCACAAAACCAAGTTCTGTAGAAGATTCTGTATTTTCTTTTTCTGCTTTTGTATAAACACTGTAGCTTTGGAAAGTAGGTAGAGGAAGGAGTATTTGGTATTTTTTTTTACCATCTTGAGTTATTTATAAAATAATAAAGGCAGGTAGATAGATAGATGATGGATAGATTCATCTGTTTAGATTTATCCATCTAGAACCTCTGGGAGGAGGTTTCAAAATATTTCTAGCAGGACTACCAGATTCTGTAACATCTTTGTCATCCATCTGGTAACCTCGCCATATACATACATGTATATACATCCGAACTAGACTATGTTGTTCCTCCGTGGCATATAATATATATGGGTATATGCGTACTTTTGTGTTTGTTTATTTTGTCATGTTTATGTAGTGTATATTGGAGGTAGAGACCCTTTGAGAGCTGTATGCAACAAAGTTTCATTTTAATGTATGCCAATTAGTGTACATTCAAAGTGACAATAAAGTTATTCTAAGTCTTCTAGTTAGATGATAGATAGATAGATAGTCTATAGGCATGTATAAATTTGGGCTGTTATCCCAATTTGAATATTTAATTTGCTATGAGTTATTTTTTCGATGATTTATAACAATAAGCCAATTCAATTTGATTGTTTTTCAAGCAATTTGATGAAAAGGATCTTTGGGTGCAAAGCCCTTCCAGACTGTGAAACTGATTTGAATCCATCTTACTCCATTAAACTATTTAATCTGAATTGTTGATCCAGTTTGTAAAGTCAGCTCAATTTAGTGATTATATTAAATTGCCTTCCCATTATATGTCCAAAGTGAATTTTTGCACAGCCTAGAACAGGGGTGGGCAAACTACGGCCCGCGGGCCACATCCGGCCCGTTGGTCTTTTTAATCCGGCCCGCCGAAGATTGGTACAGAATTAAGGTTTGATGTGAATGATTGCATTCATTTGATTTTGACTTGTAATGATAGGCATTTCGACACCAGGTGGCGGCCCCTCTGTCAAATTTTAAAAGTCAATGAGGCCCCCGAGCCAAAAAGTTTGCCCACCCCTGGCCTAGAAGCTGGTACTTTTCCCACTGCCCCATATTCTATCTCTTTAGTTAGCAAATATGTTTAAGCAGATTTCATTCTCATTGTGTTTTTTCCCCCGTTCTTCTTTCCTACTTTAGGGTTTTCTTTGCTAAAGGGTTTTATCGAGGTTCTGTTGTTGTTTTTCTCTTGGTATTTCTGGAATGCTTGCCTTTTAATATAATGTTATAAATGGACTATATTACGAATAGTACAGTGTGAGCATGGGAAATTGATGCTTTGATATATAAATCTACTTTATCCTGTAAAGGAAAATAGTCTAGAGCTGT